CCTCCTGAGCGACAATTTGAGGACACCAAACTCCGTCAAGCAGCAGCAGAGGGTCCCACAGGCGCGGGAGCAGAGCGCTTGCACGTGGTCACTGGAGCAGAGAGGCAGCAGCATCCGTGCCTCCACTCGCCTCTCATCCTCGCCACAGCTAAGCCCCTGCCTCTCTGCTCCTCGCTGCTCTCTGCCTTTCATGCTTGCACTGCATCCATGCTCGCCTGCCCTGTGCCCCACCCTAAGAGACCTCTCTCCCCCAAGGTAACAGATTTGATACAGCCTCAGGTATTTTGGTATGGTCAGGTTCAGCTGGTACGAGGTCTCTTGGGTATGCCACTGCAGCAGTCAATTCATGCACGCAATTCTTGCTCTTGCTGCTCTCTTTGCTCTCACCTCAATCAACCCGTCTTGGCTTCGTTCCTCTATTCTCCTGACTCCTCTGCTCCCATTTCTCACCCCCGCCCTCTCCTTACCTCCTTTTCCCTCTATGTCTCGATCTGCTCCCTCTTGTTGCAGCTGGTCGCTCACACGGGAGTGGCAGTGGCGGGGGACATGGAGTGCACAGGCAGCAGCTGCTCTCCACCCAACGCATCCACAGCTAAGCTAAGTACCCCGGCGCGCCTCTCTTCTCCCAACCCTAACTGATGTGCTGCTTTTCATGTCTTGCTTGCGCCATGCATCACAGCCGTTCCTTACTGCCTTGTGTCACACTCAAAAGACCTCCCTCCCCCAAGGTATTAGGTTCACAGCTTTGGTACGGCCTCAGGTATTCGTTTAGTCAGGTTCAGCTGGTATGAGGGCTCTTGGGTGTGACACTGCAGCAGTCCGTTCATGCACACAATTCTGCACTTGCTGCTCTCTTCGCTCTTACTTCAATCCACCCGTCTTGGCTTCTCTCTCTCCTGACTCCTCTGCTCCCATTTGTCACCCCGCCCTTTCCCTCCCTTCTCCCGTCCTCTCTCTGTCACAAAGTGACCCCTCTCGTCCCAGCTGGTCGCTCACACGGGAGTGGCAGTGGCGGGGGACATGGAGGGCACAGGCAGCAGCTGCTCTACACCCAACGCACCCACAGCTAAGCTAAGTACCCCGGCCCTCCTCTCTACTCCCAACCCTCGCCTATGTGCTGCATTTCATGTCTTGCTTGCGCCATGCATCACAGCCGTTCCTTACTGCCTTGTGTCACACTCAAGAGACCTCCCTCCCCCAAGGTCTTAGGTTCACAGCTTTGGTACGGCCTCAGGTATTCCTAGTCTGGTTCAGCTGGTACGAGGGCTCTTGGGTGTGACACTGCAGCAGTCCGTTCATGCACGCATTATTGCACTTGCTGCACTCTTCGCTCTCACTTCACTCTTTGCTTATTTTCTCACTGCCCTCCCCACTCCTCTGCCCCCCCTTCACTCCCCCGTCCTTCCCCCACCTCCCTACCTCTCTCTGTCCCGATCTTCCCTCTTCTGGTCCCAGCAGGTCGCTCACACGGGAGTGGCAGTGGAGTGGGACATGGAGTGCACAGGCAGCAGCTGCTCTCCACCCAACCAACCCACAGCTAAGTACCCCGCCCTTCCTTTCCTCTCTCAACCCTCGCACTCTGTTGCTTTGCTTGTCATGCTTGCACCACGCATCATACTCCCTTCTTCAATGCTCTTGTCACACCCATTAGACCTCCCTCCCCCAAGGTAGCAGGTATTTTTTTGTTGGTACAGCCTCAGGTATACGTTTTAGTCTGGTTCAGCTGGTACGAGGTCTCTTGGGTGTGCCACTGCAGCAGTCCATTCATGCACACATCATGCTTGCGTTTGCTGCACTCTTCACTTTCACTTGTCTTGGCTTCTTTCCTCACTGCTCTCTCCACTCCTCTGCCCCCCCTTCACTCCCCCGTTTTCCTCTCCCCCTCCTCCCTTTTTCCCACTGTCCCGATCTGCCCTCTTCTGGTCCCAGCAGGTCGCTCACACGGGAGTGGCAGTGGCGGGGGACATGGAGTGCACAGGCAGCAGCTGCTCTCCACCCAACCCACCCACAGCTAAGTACCCCGGCCTTTCTCTCTATTCATGTGCTGCCCTCTGTCACACCCAAGAGACCTGAACCTCCCTTCAAACCTGAGCCTCTGTTCGTGCTACAACTTCAAGCCACAGACCCCTTTTTTTTGGTAAACCACCCCAGGTACAAGTATCCTCTCAGGTTAAGCCTCCCTTTGAGTCTGTGGCTTGTAGCTGAAGCTGCACCTGTGGCCCCCTTGCCTGCTGTTACCTGCCACCCCACCTCAACTCACCCCACCCATGCACACCCTTCACATTGTTACCCCTAGCCGTTTACTCACTTGTCTTCGGTTCTCTCCTTGCAGGTGGAGGGGAGGGGCGTAGGGGTCAACACCGCCACACCCCCGCACCCCTCCCCTTGTGGCCGTGCAGGTGGCAGTGGTGGGAGGGGAGGGGGGCAGCACTCCACTCGGCTGGGAGGGGATGGGAGAGTATCGGGATGGGGTCGTCTGGAACAAGGTGAGCCTCTTTTCCCTCATGCACTCATGCTGCTGCTTGGTCTTTTCCCCATGCTCGCTTTTCTTTCTTGCGCTCTCCCTTCCTTCCTGCTTCTCCCTGTTACGAGGGCTCTTGGGTGTGCCGCTGCAGCAGTCCATTCATGGACGCATCATTCCTGCACTTGCTGCTCTCTTCGCTCTTACTTCAATCCACCCGTCTTGGCTTCTTATCTCAATTCTCTTGACTCCTCTGCTCCCGTTTCTCACTCCCGCCCTCTCCTCCCCCTCCTCCCGTGCTCTCTCTGTCCCAAACTGACCCCTCTCGTCCCAGCATGTCGCTCACACGGGTGTGGCAGTGGCGGGGACATGGAGTGCACAGCCAGCAGCTGCCCTCCACCCAACCCACCCACAGCTAAGTACCCCGCCTACCTCTCCCCTCCCAACCTTCACCTGTCTTGCACTCAAACGCAAGCCTTTGCTTGCGCAAAAACTCCAAGCCACAGACATTTTTTGGGGTAAAACCCCCCAGGTACAGCAGGTATGCTCTCAGGTCAAGCCTCCCTAGGTATATACCTCCTTGGGTCTGTGGCTTGTAGTTGAGGCTGCACCATTGGCCCCCTTTGATAGAATTGGAACTGAACTGATTGATTGATAAGGAAGGCACTAGGCCTTAAGTACAAACACGGTTGGGTTGAGCAAAGCTAGGGAAAGGATGGGATGGGAATCCTAGCAAATCTCCAATTGGTGAGTTGGCAGATTTGCAGGATTACGAGGGAATCCCAACCAGATAGGGTTGGGATTACAAATCTACACCCAACCTACAAAGTAACCTAACCGATATAGAATATAGTACAAAGTGTTGACTGACTATTTCTAACACACCCCCTAGGCTGACAACACTTCAGCCACATGGTGGCCCAACACCCATGGACGAGAGGAGGCGGTAGTGGTCTTGGCGAACAAGAGACTTGGTAAACAAGTCAGCAAGGTTGCAGTCGGAGGCAATGTGTTAAGCCTTCAGCTGCTCGCGTGCGGTAGGACTTGACTAACTCAACTGGGGTAGTGGTGATGAAAACCCTAATCACTGCCGCATCCGCCTGCTCCTAGAGACTGAAGTCCGTCTCATACTTGGTGGTCTTAGCATCGAAAGCACTCTTGGCTGTGGCAGTGGCGCCTTCGCCGAGAGGATCGGGAGGGAGAGGCATCTTCCCCTTGCCACGGTTGAGGAGGATGTCCTTGAGGTAAATCCCCTTGAGCTCCGAGCTAAGGAGGTGCTTCTCCACTCCATAGCACCACTCCCCGAAGTTGGTGCTCGTGCCGTTGGGAGCGAGGTTAAGGATGATGAGGTTTCCGACGAGGGTGGAAGTAGAAGTCGCCATTTTGCGCGGAGGGCAGCGCTAAAGTCTCCGATACGTAGCGGAGCGAAGCGGTTTTGGCAATAGAATGCCCGTATTATACCCTGCTATACTGCTTCGCCGATGCCCCCTGTTCTGCTTCGCTGCTGCCCCTGTTCCGCTTCTCTGCTGCGCCGCTGACCTGTTCGGCTGCGCCGCTGGACCTGTTCTGCTGCGCCGCTGACCCTGTTCCGCTGCGCCGCTGGACCTGTTCCGCTGCGCCGCTGGACCTGTTCTGCTGCGCCGCTGAAAACCTATTCGAAGTTAAGAAGTTGCGAAAATTGCCACGGAGATTAAAAAACCAGAAGCTTACGATGAAGGAAGTCGGAAGCTGAAAATTTCGCCGTTGAAAAACGAGATGCGCGATGAAGGAAGCCGAATGCGCGCTTGACCGGAGCGACGATGTGAAGTTTCTGAAAAACGCTAAGCGTAGGAGCCGGAGCCGAAATAGGCATAGCCTAGAAGGAGAGAACCATCGGGACGCCAAGGATCGGATTCCGCGTGAGCGGAGTTTACTAGCTCGATACCATGATAGAATTGGAACTGAACTGATTGATTGATAAGGAAGGCACTAGGCCTTAAGTACAAACACGGTTGGGTTGATCAAAGCTAGGGAAATGATGGGATGTGAATCCTAGCAAATCTCCAATTGGTGAGTTGGCAGATTTGCAGGATTACGAGGGAATCCCAACCAGATAGGGTTGGGATTACAAATCTACACCCAACCTACAAAGTAACCTAACCGATATTGAATATAGTACAAAGTGTTGACTGACTATTTCTAACACCCTTCCTTCCACTGCTTCTCTCTTGTGTATCAACCCCTCGCCTCTCCGCTAGTCTCTCACCATTTCTCCGTGGGCCATTGCAGGTGGAGGGGAGGGGCGTGGGGGCGGGGATGGCAGGGAGGCAGCACTGCAGCGGACTGAAATTGGTGGCGCGAGGGAGGGTATACAGTGGGGTGGGCTGGGTTTCTCAAGGTGCGTTAGCTGCTGCCTTGGCCTCACCTTGCTCTCCCTCTTGTGCTTTCACGTCGCTGCTGCAGATTTTTCCTTAACTCTTCCATTCTCGTTGCTGTCAGCTTCACTTCTTTCCTGGCTTGAGCCTTTGCCTACTCACCGCTTCTTCCTGCCCCTCCGCTCATGTCCCTCCCCCTCCTTTTCTTGGCGTCAACAGTTGCAGCAGCAGAAGCGGCGGCCGGCCTTGCAGGTGATGGCGCCCACCCACCCTCACCGCTCTGCACCTCACAAGAAGCTAAGTACCATCTCTTCTCTGCTCTCGCCCTTATGTGCTGCTCATTGCTCTCTGATCGTTGCTTTCATGGCTTTTCCTTTGCTTTCTATACTTGAAACTATGTTGCCACTGGTTGGGGCCCGCTTCACCAAGCCACAGACCCCTCCCCTACAGCAGGTATTCCCTTCAGGTTCAGACCCCCTAAAGCCTAACAGCCCCCTCAGGTCCCCTCAGGTTCCCTTGGGTCTGTGCCTTGTAGCAGAGCCTCCACCAGTGGCCCCTCCTCTCTTCCTCGCCTCTCTGCCTCGCCTGCACATCTCACCTTTATGTGCCTCCCACTCTTTCCTCGACTTAGCTTCCCCCCCTCTCCCCCTCCTCCCTTACCCTTCCCTCCACTCTCCCCTCCGCCCATCCCCCAGCAGCCCCTCTGGTGGCGAGTTCCCAGCACTCCCAGCAACGCCTTTGGGTGGTGTGAGGCGCGTCAGTGGCGGCACCACAGCAGCCTCAAGCCTCAAGACGCCACTGCCGCTCACAGCCACACATGATAAGTACACTCTTCCCTCTCGCCTTGTCAATGTTTTTGCTCTCTCACACATGCACTCCCACATGCATCTGCACATCGTCTTTCCATCCATGCAGCATGCCTCCTCTCTTCAAGCCAAGCCACCTGCAGCAGCCTAGCCCACATTGTGCAGACCCCCTATTCCAGGTATTCCCCCCCCCCCCTAGCCCCCAGGTTAAGCCTATCCTAAGCCCTATACATTTTTTATACCCACACTACCTTTGGGTCTGCACCATGTGCCTAGCGCTGCTCCAGTGGTCCCTCTGCTGCTCTCACCTCCCATGCACACCCCTCACGCTTCAAACTCCTAGTCTCCTACTCAGTACTCTTCAGTTTCCTCCTTGCCGGTTGAGGGGAGGGGCATGGGGGTCAACACCGCCACTCCTCCGCGCCTCTCCCCTGGTGGCGTTGCAGGCGCTGGAGGGGCTGCGAGGGAGGCAGTGAGAAGAGCTGGGAGCAGCGATAAGGGAGAGTATCGGGAGGGGTTTGGCCTTCACAGGTAATTCCCCCCTCTGCTCTTCCACACTCCGCTCGACTCACGCCCCCCTCAGTTCACGTTTCTCTGCGGTTTCTGTTTACAACCGTTGCTTACTGTTGCTCATACTCCTCTCCACTCACTTGCTGCTCTTCTCCTCCATGCCTCCCCCGTCTCTCCCTCCATCATCACCAGCCACTCCGCTCCTACAGCAGCGGCTCATGTGGGCAGGCCAAGGGGTGGCACTCCAGCCAGAGGGAGAGCATGCATGCGGGCTGCTCCCTGCTGCCCAAGGTGAGCTGCTTCGCCTCCAATTCTCTCTCCACTTCACCACTCCAGTTTACTTTTATCCTTGCTGCATCGCCTGTTTCCTCTCCCTTCAAACGTGAGCCTCTGGTCGTGCCACATCTTCAAGCCACAGACCCCCTTTTTTTTGGGTAAGCCACCCCAGATACACAAGGTATGCTCTCAGGTTAAGCCTTCCTAGGTATGTATATACCCCCCTTGGGTCTGTGGCTTGTAGCTGAGGCACCACCTGAGGCCCCCTTTCTGCTCTCGCCTGCCATCCCACCCCACTCATGCACTCTTCTCACATTGCTACCCCTAGCATCTTACTCACTTGTCTTCGTTTCTCTCCTTGCTGGTTGAGGGGAGGGGCGTGGGGGTCAACACCGACACTCCTCCGCGCCTCTCCCCTGATGGCCTTGCAGGTGCCAGTGGTGGGCTGGAGGCAAGGCGGGAAGAATGCTGCCATGAGGGAGGGTATCTGGGGTGGGGTTGGCCTCTCAAGGCCCCTTTTCGTCACCCCCTCTTACTGCTGCAGATGATGTCAGTTTTCTGTTTTCCATTACCGTGTATGCTTTCCCTCCCCACTCCTCTGCTCCTCCTTCGCACCAACGTCTTCTCCTCCCCCTCCTTCTTCCCTCTCTGTCCTGTTCCTCCCCCTCTCGTCCCAGCTGGTCGCTCACACGGGAGTGGCAGTGGCGGGGGACATGGAGTGCACAGGCAGCAGCTGCTTCCCACTCAACCTTCCCACAGCTAAGTATCTGCCTTGCTTTTCGTCTCACAACCCTCTATTGTGTTCCTTTGCTTTCCATGTTCATCCTTGCTGCGTCTCCTGTTACTTGTCTCCTCAAACGCAAGTCTCTGGTTGAGCCAAACCTTCAAGCCACAGCCCCTTTTCTTTGGGTAAATCCCCCCAGGTATAGCAGGTATACTCTCAGGTCAAGCCTAGTTATATACCCCCCTTGGGTCTGTGGCATGTAGCTGAGGCTGCACCAGTGGCCTCACTCTCCTCTGCTTCTTCTGATTGTGCATCCACCTTTCTCGTTCACCCCTCGCCTCTCCACCAGTCACTAATTTCTTTTCTGTGGGCCATTGCAGGTGGAGGGGAGGGGCGGGGGTCAACACCGCCACTTCCCCTCGCCCCTCCCCTGGTGGCCTTGCAGGTACCCACGGGGACGGGAGGGAGGCAGCACTGCCACCGCCACAAGGGAGAGTATGGGGGTGGGCTTGGCCTCTCTAGGTACGTCACCTCCCCACTTGCCCTCGTCTCTATCCCCTTCTGCTCTTCAATTCTGCCTTCTCGTTTTCATCAACTTCATTTTTTTTTTTTTTTTTTTTTTTTTTTTCTGGTCATGCCAACTCACTTACTGTTACTTCCCCGCTGTCTCCTGCCCCTACCAGGTCACTTGGCATTCAAGAGGAGGCACTGGAGGAGATGGGGAGGGGAGCACGGATGAGGCAACAGCTCTCCCCAACGTTCTTCATCTGCCAATTAAGTGTCTCTTCCTCCCTGGTCCCTCACCTTTGCTTCCTCATCTTGCTCCCCTCCTTGCTGTCGTATGCTCTTCTGTTTTTCGTTTCTCCCTCAAACTGAGGCCACTGGTTGGGGCTAAGCTTACAAGCAGCAGACCCTCCTTCCTAACTCCAGGTAAAGCCCTAAGGTTCAGGTTCAGCCTCTATATCCCCTACAGTTACAGCCCCTCAGGTAACCCCCCTTACTGCAGGTCAGCCTTTAGGTAAGGTCTGTTGCCTGTTGCCCTAACCCCACCAGTGGCTCCTCCGCTCTCTCGCCCTGCATATGCCTCTCGCACATCTCAAATCTGCTCATGTCAACATTGCCCTCTGACCAGCTCTGCGTGTGTGCCTTGCAGGTGGAGGGGAGGGGCGGGGGTCAACACCGCCACTTCCGCACGCCCCTCCCCTGTGGCCGTGCAGGCACCCATGGGGATGGGAGGGAGGCAGCAGTGTCAGTCGCTGCCACAAGGGAGAGTATGGGGGTGGGCTTGGCCTCTCAAGGTACGTCAACTCCCCTGCTCTCTCCTTGTGTATGGTACCTCCCCTCTTGCCCTCATTGCTCTCCGTTCTTTGCTCTTCAATTGTGCCTTTCTGCACTTCAGTTCTGCCTTCTTGTTTTTGTCACTTTCATGTCTTTTGCTTTTCTTCCTGATCATGCCAACTCACTTGCTTTCTCTTCCCCTCTTTCTTCTGCCCCCACCAGGTCACTTGGCATGGAGTGAAGACTGTAGCAGAGGAAGCTGAGTAGCAGGCCGGCAACAGCAGTTGCAGCAGCAGAAGCGGCCTCAGCAGCGGCAGCTGTGGGGGTGTGAGGCTAGAGGGCAGGCTAGGTTAGGGTCGAGTCGTGAGCGAGGTGTGGTATGGTATCAGGTGAGGTATGGTATCAGGTGAGGTATGGTATCAGGTGAGGTATGGTATCAGGTGAGGTATGGTATCAGGTGAGGTATGGTATCAGGTGAGGTATGGTATCAAGTGAGGTATGGTATCAGGTGAGGTATGGTATCAGGTGAGGTATGGTATCAGGTGAGGTATGGTATCAGGTGAGGTATGGTATCAGGTGTGTTCTCTGATCCCCTCCTCTCTCTTTCCCTCCCCCCCCCCCCCCCCCACCCCTGCTTGCAGCCTGACGCAAGGGCGATAGAGAGGCAAGGCAGAGTGTGGGATAACTGGAGCAAGGGCGGAGTGTGGACTCTACCATCTCACTCACCCCCCCCTCCCTCTCTCCCTTCTCCCTTCCCTCCCGGCAGCACCCTGCCTGGAGCACAGTGGGGTTTGGCCCTCCCCTAATCCCCCTCCTCTCACTTCCCAGCAGCCTGAGGCATCATGGCGCTATGCATGGCTGTGGTAAGTGGAGCTAAGACGAGGTAAGGAGGCATGGGGGTGAAGTGTGGGGGGAGGTGGGTGGTGGGGAGCATGGGAGCATGCAGTCAGGTCACTCCCTTAGGGGCAGCATCCTCTGGGGTTTTGGCTTGTGATGGTGGAGTGTGGTGGGTGGAATCTGTGCGCCACGGCACTCGGTGATCAAGTAACCGATCTGACGTTCAAGGCCTAATGGACACCGTCAGAACCGACCGGCCGGCGGCTCTGGTTCGCGTCAGCTCTGGCTACGTCAGGGGTGGGATTTGAGTCTTGGGCTGGAAGCAATTTTCCACTACCACACCTCGCCCTGCAAGGCGCAGCCTCTGGGCGTGTTGTTTCCAAAGGGAATTGGGCTGTCTGCTGCTCCTACTGCTGGCCAGTGAACGTGGAGAGGTGTTGGGTGGTGATGGTGGTGAGAGGCAGTGGGGTTGGTGGCACATGACGAGCCGTATGGCACTGATGCCACCTGTTGCTTGAGAGCATGATGCTCATACTTGGTTGGCGGCTCATGATGAGCCTTATGGCATTGATGCCGCCTGTTGCATGAGAGCATGATGCTCATGCGTGGTTGGTGGCACATGATGAGCCGTATGGCACTGATGCCACCTGTAGCTTGAGAGCATGATGCTCATACGTGGTTGGCGGCTCATGATGAGCCGTATGGCACTGATGCCACCTGTTGCATGAGAGCATGATGCTCATGCGTGGTTGGTGGCACATGATGAGCCGTATGGCACTGATGCCGTATGATACAGCGTGATGTGAAACAGTGTGGCATGATACAGTGCCATAGGATACATTGACATATGATAGAATGTGTTATGATGCAATGTGGCATGATACACTGCGGTATGATACAGTGTGGTATGATATAGTGTGGAATGATACAGTGTATAATGATATAGTGTGGTATGATTTCGCTTGGTATAATACGGTGTGGTATGATTCAGTGTGGTATGATACAGTGTGGTATGGTACAGTGTGGCATGATACAATGTGGTATAATACTGTGCGAGAGTGTATCAAGGAGTGGCATGGCATGTTGTTGTATCTGGTGGTGTGGCATGGCATGGTGTGGCGCCTCGTGGTGTAACATAGGCATGGTGTGCCATCTGATTTTTTGGCATGTCATGGAGTCGGGCTGAATACCCTTGTGTAGATGAGTGGAAGAGAAGGGGCTGAAACCCCTTGCGCGGGTCAGTAGAATGGTGAATGGTTGAATTTTGAGAGTGGGTGAATGGAATAGAGACGGGCCATATCCTTTTGTGTGGGTTGGAGAGAGTAATGAGAGCTGAATTTCCTTAGATGGGTGAGTGGGGGAGAGGGATGGGAGCTGATTCCCCTAAGGTGAGTGAGTGAGAGAGGAGGATGTGGTCTGAATTCCATAAGGTGGGTGATTGGGAGAGGGGGGTGACCTAAAGTGCGTGAGTGGGTGGGAGAGAGGGATGGGTACTGAATGGGCGGTGGGTGTGTGGTGTGAATGGA